CCAGGACCACGGGTCCGGACCACCCGCTTGAACGCTCCCGGCGGGCCGGCGCGGGCCGTGGGCCCGGGGTCCGCGGGGTCACCCCCCCCTCCGCCCGGCTCACAGTGTGAGCGCTGGGCGTGGGCTCCCTGACGTCAGGGCTAGCAGGGCTAGCCGAGCACCGCCGTCGTAGCGGACCTGGCTCGCTGGGCCTGGGCGCCCACTCCCGGCCTGTCATCAGCGCGGGGCGCTCTGCCACCCCAGCCGCAGCACCACTGTTTTCACCGGGACTAATTTCTGCACGGGCTGGCTTTGAACCACGATCTTCATGTCTGAGCCTCACGAGGAGCAAGAATTGCAGCATGGGCCACAGGTGCCCAGCTATTAAATTTCATTTTACAATTTAAAATTTAATCCTAAGACACTGGGGGGGGGGTAAACAGAAGCTCTTCTGTGGAAATTCTGTTCTTGTCCACCAAGACTTAATACAGGAACCTGACCTGCTGTGGTGGTGCAGATGGCAGAACTACAGCTATGTCATTTTTCAGCGTTAACACAATGCACACAAAGAATCAGCAAGTAATTTCCCCCATCATAGGAGGCCCTCATGAGTCACAGAAATGAGACCTTTTCTTCTTCATTTGCTCCTGTTTGCGTGCTCAGTGGGACAGCTGCAGGATGGCTGCACCATCCTGCTTTTGAGACACCATTCCACACTGGTTCCACTGTGCAACATTCACTCCATCTTTATCAACAAAACCAAATTGTTTTGCATACATGCAATCTTGTAACACAAACTCAGTACCGGCCAGATACTCTTAGGACCAATATTAAGAAACAAAAATGACTTTAACTCTTGACTTTTAAGGCAGAAGCATTTATTTTAGTTTGCAGAAGATCTTCTAGATAACCGGAGGAAGCTGTGATTTGATTTCAATTTCCAGAAATGACAATTATTTTAATTTCCCTTATTTCTCTTCCTCTAAACAGACGTAATGAGAAAAACTCACCCTGAGAATGCAGAAACAAGAAAGTCAGAAGATGTATGAACACTGAATCCTGTTGTTGCCCAGTGAGGGTGAGCAAGGAACAGCCACAGGTGGAGAGGAGTGGTCTCAGGGCTGCACAGAGGACTGGAAGCTTCTTTGATAGAACTGAACCACAGGTCTCTTCAGCCACAGGCTTGGCGCATCTAAAGGACCATCATCAAGTTTAGTCATTAAAAAAAAACTAAAACAAAATCTTACTTAGGGGCCCAAGAACTTGAGTCTATTTTGCCTTACTAGTTTGATCAAGTTTATTAGTTTTAAACTGCATGGAAGGTAGATTTCCTAAACGTTTAAACTCATGGATGTTTGTCTTCTTTACAAATTCATCTTCTACAAATGATAAAGACATGGGGGGGGGGGAATCACACCATCTTTTATTTGCTGAACAATTGAAAAGTCAACATACAGAATACTGTCCTGGCCTCCGTCTGTGCTCTCCACTTCAGTGTGCAGGCTGGAGAGCTCGCTGCCAGCGGGGTCAGCTGCCGGCAGGGTCAGCAGGGCTGGGGGAGGCTCCTGCACCTCTGGCTCACACGCTTCAGGCTGCTCAAGAAGGCCTCACCGCTGCCAGACCCAACATCTCCTCACACACCGTACCCACGGATTCACAGCACTCTATGCCATATGTACAAAAATACATCGCTCTGGAGAGCTGAAAAGGTTTCTTACATACAACATGTATTTACAAGCTGTGATTTTCACACCAGTAAAAAGAAATGCACATTTATTTTGTCCTTGATTTTTGGTGCAAGTTATACATAAACATTACATCCGTTAGTCTGTACTTTTAAAAATAATAAATCAACCATATGTACAATTAAATTTACAACCCAAAGTAAGCGCACCCGTTGGTATGGTATACTGCAACCGAGTGGATGAGCAGAGGCGGCGCTGCAGACCCAGGCCTTCCCCTGCCAGGCCAGAGCATGCCGAGCCCCTCTGATCTCCACTCCAGAAGAAGCAGCTTAATGTCTGAGACTTAAGGTGCAAAGAAAGATGTTGATTATACGGCTACAATTATATGTACAGACTTTAAAAGTGAGAGAAAAACAACATATTAACCCCCACATTTATAAAGACAATTAAAATAAATATATATATTTAATTCCAAGTGCATATGCTATTCAGTTAACATCAGGGGGCCAGGAATACAGAAACATTTATTCCTAAACCACTTCTCCACGGAGCTGCTCCTTCCGCCTGGTCGTCTTAAGTACTTGAGCATGGCTCCAGACAGCGACCGTCATAGTCCACAGCTCTGCCACTCCAAGGCACAGAGGGGTTATGTCTCCTCCTGGCCCCACCCTGCACCCCCACCCACTGCTCCAGAGGTGTTTGTGGAAAAGCACAGCTAGGTGATCTGGACCGGAGGAGGGCCTCAAGTCCTCCCGGTCCAGGACATGGGCAGCCGTGTGACGGAAACGGCACACAGTGTTGTAAGAAGCCTGCATGGCTGGCAGGTGTCCCCTGAAGGCGGTGAGCTGTGCACAGCGCCAGAGGACAGGAAGCTGCGGCGGCGACCAGAGATGATGGCACGCTGAAGGAGCAGCGCGCCCGTGAGGGGCGTGCGCGGGTGGGATGAGGACATAACAATGACTCCTTTGTTAAACAACATAAAGGGAAGCTCCGCGGCTCTGGCCAGCTGAACACCCAGCCCGATGCCTCTGTGGCCAGGCAGGGTCACCCACGCACGTCTGCTGAGAGCCAGCAGGTCACGACACACAGCAACCCAGCCACAGTCCCTAAAGTACACACACAGCCGTCTGCGTTGTCATGTGACGCTGACTTCCAGGACGTGGTCGTCTTGGCTGGGAATGACCAGGACCTGTGTGCCGGTGCTGGAGTTGAAGACCTGGCCCGTGGGCAGGGCCTGGAGACGGGGCATGGGCAAGCCTTTGAGCTCGCCACTGGAAGCTGAGTGCACACTGCCTCGGCTCCACACGCTGCTGCAGTCCAGCTGGTCGTCCAGGCGCCGGTCCACCGGCAGGCCGTCGCTCTCAATCCAGCTGTCTGTAGAGCACAGAACACACAGTGAGTCACACCCGCGGCGGCCGGCACCCTCCACCCCTCCCGGGGCAAAGCCTCCTGCAGGACCAGCGCGCCCGAGGCACTGCCTTTGCAGCCCGCCGAGGAGAGCCACACAGAGGAGAGCTGCAGCCTCCGGGGCGACACCTGCCCCGCACCCTCACGTCTCACTGCCCGCCCTCCCAACTCGGAATTCATAGCTGGCCCTGGCTGACCACGCTTCCAACTATCAACCCTTCCACCACTTGATGGTGCAGTGTGTGTTCAGAAGCCATACCTTGAATTGGGGGTGTGTGTGTGTGTGTGTGT